CCTGGCAGCGAACTCCCCGGAGCAGCGTGCCAGGCATGGGGGTCAGAGGGAGCTGTGCAAGCACCTTCAGAGGGGGAGCGCGGCCGAAGAGCTGGGACCCAGCGTGAGCCAGGGAGCAGACAACGCCCTGCCCCAGGCCTCCCCACAGCCACGGCAAGGGAAGGGTGCCCGGGTCCTTCTGACACGTGAACGTCTTCATCTCCGGAGGGACGGAGGACTGGAGCGCTTCGAAGCAGCTGGGCAGCTCTCGGCTTATTTGAGCAAAACTAATCGCAATGATTAATTAAGCCTTAATCACAGAGAGTTGCTCCTGCTGCGGAAGAGTGGCCTACTATTAATATTAATTAATATTATTAATTAATAATAATAGTTATTATTCACTCATATATGGGGGCAGCAGCTCGAATCCGTCTGCCAAAAAGGCATCATTGGCCGCGGGGGTCTCGAGAGCAGCGACCGCTCGTGCGTCTTCCGACGGGCTCGGGTCTGCGGCGACAGGACCCCATCCACTCCGCGGTGCTGAGCAGGGCACTGCGGGCAGCGCTCTGCAGCTTGGTGTGGCATAGCCCGACCAGCAAAGCCTCAACTACACGCTGGATTTTAAACACAAGGACCCTCTGAGGGTGACGGAGCACTGGCCCAGGCTGCCCAGGGAGGTTGTGGAGTCTCCTTCTCTGGAGATATTCCAGCCCCGCCTGGACGCGGTGCTGTGCAGCCTGCTCTGGGTGACCCTGCTTGGGCAGGGGGGTTGGACTAGATGACCCACAGAGGTCCCTTCCAACCCCTACTATTCTGTGATTCTGTGATTCTGTGAAATCCCACAGACTGCAGCGTGGGACCGGGAGGGTTTAGCATTAAAGCCAAGTGTTTGGACGTGAAAGGTTTCTTGTCGTGGTAGTTCGGTCTGGGTTCTCAGGATGCGCTCCTAGGCTGGCAAAAGCGATTCTCTGTGTAAACAGACTGGCTGAAAAAGATTGCACACATTTTTAAAGAGGGATTTCATACCTCTAAGAAAAGGAAAAGATCTCAGCCATAATTGCAAGCAGATGAGAAAGAATGAGATTTCCAGCCAAAAGACTTGGTGGTGGACCACGAAAGGGGTTTCTGAGGCAATGGCAGTGGCTGTGTGGACATCATCAGTGTGGAAACACATGGGGACACAGCAAGAAGTAGAATACAGAAACTGGCTCAAAACACAACTGGAATCTACTCTGTGTCTCATTTTTCTAGACCTGTGACTACCTTCAGGGGAGGTTTAGACTAGATATTAGGAAAAAATTCCTTACCAAAAGAGTGGTCAGGCGTTTGCCCAGGCTGCCCAGTCCCCATCCCTGGAGGGGTTCAAAAACCGTGTGGATGTGGCACTTCCGGACACGGTTTAGCAGGCATGGTGGTGTTGGGTGGATGGTTGGACCTGACGATCTGAGAGGTCTTTCCCAACCTATGATTCTATGATTCTATACCTTTTCGGAAGGTTTTAGGAGGATACTTGAAGTCCTGCTACAGAAACACAGCAGCAGTGCTTCTCCCGTGGCAGGGCTTGAGCTGACCTCCATGGGAGTGGGGTTTGCCCTCAGTTACCTGAGGTGGGATTTCCCTTCAGTATTCCTGGTGTCCATACTACTTCTCAAACCCTTTTTAAACCTGAAAACGCCACGTGCACAGGGTTTCCCACTGCTGCTGCGGAGACTCAGCGCGTCGGGAGCGCCCAGGCAGCAGCAAAGGCTGCGCGTGAACTGACCCACGTTCGCTCTCCAACACGGGAACCTGTGACTGTGCTCAGTTCGGAAGGCAGAGGCACCAGTCTCTGCTAACGCCGGGGAAGCCACCCCGGCTACTCAAGCGGCAACTCCATGAATGCAAATCAGGTTGGGATAGCCAATAAAAGAATATTGCATCCATTTATTTCACGTCCATGGACACAGATGGGACTTTATAGCTAGCTGCATTCAAAGAATTTGCATGCACTTGCACAAGTGAAAACCACCTCACCAGCGCGGTGGGGCGAAGCCCGGCGCAGAGCGTGCTCCTGGGCGAAAGCGAGAGGACTCTGCTTGCCAGGGCTGTGGGTGTGCAGGAAGCTGCCCAAGCGCTCTGCCTTCCAAGTGTTAATCCCTTATTATCGGTCTGGCAGGGCTGGAGACGTAACAGAGCATTTGACTGGGTTTTTTCACAGAATCACAGAATGTTTGGGGTTGGAAGGGACCTCTGTGGGTCATCTAGTGCAACCCCCCAAACACCAGCTTTAGCCGTCCTACCACTCAGACGGCAGCGGGCGCGTACAGTGGGTGTAACTGGGACGGCAGCAGGTGAGCACAGCCCCAGGGCCCTCTGCGAGCCCAGGCCTGCCCGGCAAGGTCGGGGCGAATCTCACAAACATGGGACACGGGCTCCAAAGGAGAACTCTCCCGCGTTTTCAGAAAAGCAATTCTAGGCCACTTGAGTGCCTCACTGGGAGCGAACACGCAGGATGGGCACCAGCCAGAGCTGCAGCTCACGGGCCAGGGAAAGGACGGCAGCAACGGCCAGCAGCAGAACCTGCCCAGTCCAGGGAAACACTCGTCATCTGACGACGACTACGTGATGCTCTGGCCGCCGAGGTGAGCCCATCGCTGCTCCCCAGCCCCAAACACATCACAGAAACACACGCGAGCTGCACGTCTTGCCAACAGCCCAAAACACCCAGTCCTGCCGACGAACGAGGACGCGGTGACGGCGCCTGTGAGGAGCGTCCCTCCCCGGGGATGGACAGATCTTTACCTGTTAATGGAACTGACGCTGGGCACGGTGTCGTTGTCACACACTCGCTCAGCGAGGAGTCTATCCCTGATCTCCCAGGCAAACATGGTGGGATTTTGGCGCTTGTACTCTGCAATTTTTTCAACGACTTTGGGTGTGGCGACCTTTGGTTTTGATCCTCCAATCACTCCGGGCTTAATACTGCCGGTTTCGTAATACCTGGGACAACATCCAAAACAAAGCTTTGGTTATCACAAATAGACAGGGAACATGCTTTGAGATTTATAGAGAACATAATTTCAAGGTAACCAAACCCCAGCAAATCCTGAGATACATCTTCACTTCCACATACACATTTTCTGCCTACGTAGTGCTTTATCACCTAATAGATTAACTTATAGTAATTGGAATTGGGCCTCGGGATACAATATATATTTTTCTGTAATAGCAAGACAAAAGCAACAATGCGAGATTAAAGGGCATGCCGGGATCCAAAATTAACTGAAAATGCGTGTTATTAATCAGCGGTACTGGAAATAATAGAAACAAATCACGCCAAAGGCCACTTTTTGCAGTGGACTCTTTTGTGGTAAATTACCTTTTCTACAGAAATTCTCTGTCATTAATATCTACGGCTTGCTATCATTCCACAGTGAAATGAAGGATAGGTATTATATTTTATTTGCACCTCTGGAATAAATACGTTGGCATTACCTTCTTCCTGTTTCACGGTTTTGATACGTGTATCATGGTTCTGATAGTTAAGATTTTTCACCACGTATTCTTTTTAACACTACGCCTTACGCAGCTTCGATCACCAACATGAAGGAAGAGGGAGCTGCCCCCGTTCCGGAGGGGTCCAGCTGACGCGGGGGCTGGCTCCCGCCATCCGTCCTTCCTCGGGTACGGCGTCTGCA